ATACTTGGCTCCTGCTCTGTCCTGCCCTGCTGCAGACCGCCCGGAATTGTGGGGTGATTCTCGATCTCGAAGTCAAAGGTCGGTCGGTATCGCTCGCTCGGGGGTATGGCGCAGCTCAATGGTCGGAAGCGGCAAGGCTGGCAAAGAGCGGTCGCTGAGGTCCGAGCAGTCTGGGACGGACCGAGCGGTCGAGAGGCTTTGTTTTTTTTTGGCAGAGCTGGTCGGCCAGGCAAGCAGCGTTGGCCGGTTGTTGTTTTCGTCGTCCAAGACAGGGATAGGCCAAAGGCAGGTGATAGTAGAGATTGTATGGGAGGGCCGAAAAGTGCGTTGTCGTGGAAGTGGCCGTGTTTCACGGATTGTCGAGGCAATAGCGGAAAATGCCGGGGCTATATCGCCATGAGGATCCTGACCGTGTGTGCCGCCTTCCCTCGTTCGGGTCGCGGGCGGGGGGACGCGACAGGCCCCTACTGAGAAAAAAATATGGCTAGAGAATCAAAGGGGAAGGTGAGCGAACAATGGAAGGGAAGAACGAAAAGATGAGCGGGAACCCGCAGCTGTTTTCTGTGGGAGGACAATGGCGGTCGTGTTGAAGAAAAGGGGGAGCCCAACAGGGAAAGAATAGTGAACAAAAGTCGGTCCACTGGACGAACCGAAATGGGCGTCCGCTGTCTTTGGGTTTAATCCGCCTTTGATGATGGAGAAATTTGACATGGAGGGGCTAGAGTAATGATCCGTCGACCTGCACGTAATTTTGGTTCGGGACGCGTCTGGGCCAAGCGCACAGTGAGCTGGACCCCTGTTTCGCCCCCAGCCCAGGCAATAGAAAAAAGTGCCGAGAAAGGACCATAGGTGCGTCGGCGGATTTTTTTTTTTTTCTGCTCCTCACCGTATGCGGCGACCAGCGACTCGACTCTGGTCGTTGGAAGGCAGTGCGACCCCGCGATACCTCGCAGCCACTGGGCTGAGCAGAATGCGCGGTGAGCGAGCCGCGGCTGCCGTTTCAGTACACAGACCCACCAACCTTGGTACCTGACTGTAGGTGCTGCAGTCGGAGGTCAAGGCCTCAATCGTCCCAAATACTTCACCCCGCCCGCCACTTTCTGCAAGCCACACACAATCGCAGGCTTGATGCCGGATTCCAGGCCCAAAAAAAGCAAAGCTTGTGGGCGGGTTTGACAACAGCGCGCCGCGCATTCCGAGTTCCAGTTCCCGGAACCCAAATAAAATAACATAGCTATCATCTCGTTTGTCAAGCTCGCCCGCCTTACGTCAGTCGACACAAAACCCATTCACTCCGGCTGAGCTGGATGAGGCTCGGTGGGATCCAGTCAAGCCCCCACGCTGCGTTGGTCAAGGTTCTGGGAAAGTCACCTCCCTAATTTAGCCGGCCATCAACACCTATACATGAAAAAAGGATGGCAAACTTCCGGCAGTTCAGGCCCAGCGACCTCTCCAAGCTTTCCAAATGCAACCTGGATCCCTTCACCGAGACCTATGAGCTTTCCTTCTACCTGCAGTACCACGCGAAATGGCCCTCGCTCTTCCAGGTGGCCGAGGACCAGCACGGTAACATTATAGGCTACAGTGCGTAGATTTTTGACCGAGGTGCCATGCTGCCTGTCCATGACATGTCAACCCGTGCTGACTGAAACCCATCAACAAGTCATGGGCAAGCTCGAGTCCTCGCCCGACGTGTACAAGTTCTCGGAGCACTACCTCCCCTGGCACGCGCACATCACGGCCGTGACGGTGGCGCCCGAGGCGCGGCGGCTCGGCATCGGGCGCATGCTGTCGGAGCAGCTCGAGGCGGCGGCCGACTCGGGCGACGCCTGGTTCGTCGACCTCTTCGTGCGCAAGACCAACCACAAGGCCATCGCCTTCTACAAGAGCATGGGCTACTCCGTCTTCCGCGTCGTCAAGGACTACTACGGCGACCACTCGTCCGACCCCACGCTGCACTCCGAGGACGCCTACGACATGCGCAAGCCCTGCCGGCGCGACGTGAAGCGCGAGCACGTCCGCGACGACGGCGAGAAGCACGAGGTCGACCCGTGCGATGTTTGGTAAGGCGGGGAGAGGTGAAGGGAAACAGATAGTAGCGTCACTCATGAAGAAAGATACGGATCATCAGCCTCTAGGTTTATTCGTTACATGGAGATAGACTAAGGGCAAGCGCTTGAGCGGCCAGAGATGGCTTCAAATGACCAAGGAAAAAAAAAGCAATCACAGAATATTTCATCATAAACTCCCAAACGCAGCAAGGATATCTTGAACTCGATGCACATGCTCGCTGTGGTCATCAACATCGACGCGACTCCCGGATAGACTCTCTCCTTGGCATCCAAAGAGGGGCTCGGGTGGTCTGATGAATGTCTGTAGTCGGGACGAGGAGCCCATGGGCCGTAAGGAGAGGCGATTACAACTGGAGAGTATAGGAGCAGAAGAATAAAAGGGCACCAAATCAAAA